TGGGGAGATCCCCTTGAGTAGAGTTGTATGATAAAGTTAATAGTATTTTGATAGTATGCAGTCTGAGCATAAAAAGGCGGTAATTGGGCTGAAATTCGAATTATCACGGATTATATCAATATCGAACAATTTATTGAAATCTGATGTGGTGCATGTTTTTGCGTCGCTGTAAAATTTTGTGGTCAATTTAGCTATAAAGCAATTGATATCATCAATGTTTAAGTCTTTTCTGAGTAATCTATTGCTAATCGCCCTTGGGGCGCCAGTCATTGTGCGTAAAAATTTACCTTCGGTTGTAGATAGCTTCTTTTTTAGGTTGTTGCTTATAGTAGTGAGGGGGGGGGGGCAAGCATACTTCAGAATTGGTTGAATCGCTTGTATGTAGATAGTTCTTTTATTTGCTAGATCAAGCTTTGAATTCTTATGCAGGAAGACTTTGAGCTCAAAAAACGTTCCTCTGGGTCTTTTGATTATGTCGTTTAAGTGAGTACTCCAGCTCAAATTATATGAGATCGTGACGCCGTGGTATTTAACGTGTTTCACTGGTTTGATCTCAGTATTAAAGAGATAGATGTGGGGAGTACTTTGTTGTTTTTTCTTACTATTTATGATTAAGAATTGACTTTTGTCGGGGTGTAGTTTTGCGCGCCATTTGCTGCACCATGTTTCAACTACTTGTAGTTTATCTTGTAGCAGGGTAATAGCGCGTTTTGTATTCATTGCCTTAGTTATGATTACCGTATCATCAGCATATAGTGCTACTCAATGCTGTGAGCTCGTTGGGTCATAACATATGTGATGGTTATCTTAGCATCAGCCCCGCTAGGGGCTCTAACTAATTCATCTGAGTGGAAATAAATAATAAATCGCCGAAGCACAACTGAAAGGTGAAAGTTCGATACTGTGGTGGTTGTTGTCCGCCTTATATAGCAACACAGAAAAGAGAAAAAACTGTTATGAAAGACATTTTATTATAGCATTTTTTTCGAGAAAAGTAAAATATCTGTAACTATCAAGAGTTCTTTTATGATTTTAGCTTATATAGTATAAATCTGCTTCTTTTTTAAGAAAAAATAGATATTGTTGAATGGTTAAAAAAAGAATAAGTAAACTCCTCCCGAAAACTAGGTATAACTGAAATGTTATTACCAGCGTTTACTCTTTTCCGTCTCGCTTTCACCCCAGCGTTCAAGCTGAGCGTTCGATGACGTAGGCTGTCTAACTCACAAATTGACCAATCAGAGATTAGCGCTTGTTTCAAGCTAACTAAGGCTCCTATACTATCAGAGCTGACCTATCAAGCAATATAGAAGCAAACAAGTTCGCAAGTTAATGTTATTTTAGTATTCGTTATGTTATTACAGAGATGTCAACTGCTGCGGACACGCCAAAATAATTTAAAAAACGGTAAATAACTACAAAGTAAATTTTGCAAATAGTTGACAATATTCGCTTGCTTTAAAAAATGCTAAGCATGTAATAAGCATACCTGCTAACTCCTCCGGATTTTCCGGAGGATTTTATTTTCATATTTAAAGTGGTAGTAATTATATACCATTTTTTTTTATAATCTTAATTTTTAAATGATATTGATCACCACTATTCTTACAAAAATTAAGCACATATATTAATATGCGTTACTATCATGGTTGTCAACTTAAGTTTTCTCAAATACAACGTATTTGTTTGATTAAAATTGAAGTTTTAATTCCATTTTAATACCACTGGGAAAAATGATAATGGAAGGGATTAAAAGTTACCAGGTATGAATAAGTACTATAAAGTGGTGAATTATATAAGCCTACGCATTGTTTAGAAATAGTGGTGGATTAAAATCAACTAAATCAAACTTATGAGACCAAGAATTACAATTAATAAACTACCACTTGAAAATATTTATTCGCTGTGCTTATGTTAGCTCTTTGCTCCAACAATAAATGATAAGTCGGCCTGTCTAATTCAGGGGCTCTAAAGCTAACGTTTCGCAACGCTGACTTGTCCTAAGAAACTAGGGCTTTACTCTGCTTGAAAAATCTTTTTCAAAAAGAAATTCCTCACATTGTTTCTTTGGAGATAGAGTTACGAAAATACTTAAGAGAAGTGGTGTATTCATCAACTCTTTTTCAAGAAAAGTGTTCTCAATCTCTGAAGTTTTCAGATACAATTATCAATCATGGCACGTCAGCCCAGGATGGACCAACATCTTCTGCACCAGGACACTGCTACTGGCAGAAAAACTGTTCCAATTTTAATTTTTAAGGATATAACAGTCCTTCTCCACTGCGTCTTTCCACATAAGTTTAGGATCTCTTCTCGTGTTAATTGGTTTAGCTAAAAAAAATTCAAATTATTATTGTCTTTCTTACTGATTCCAGTTGAAACAATTTATTTTTACCAACCAAACCACATCTGGTTCTTTGAGCTAGTAGAATAGTTCCGAATTTCTTCTTCTGTGCTAGAAAACAGTTTCTTGGATTCCTCCAAAGATACTTTGTGAGGAAAGACCAACCAACCTCTTTCTATCATGGGGTATCTCAAGATTGAATTAAATAAGCATGTTTTATACACTAGAGAATTGATGTTTAATAATTGTAGTGATAATTCCCTACCATAATTTTATCAGGAATAGAATTCAATGAACGGATACCAAAAGTTGCTGTATTTGTGAAAGACCGGGAGAGCTAGATTAATGTCGCCGGGTTTTGTGCTTTAGCCACGAGTCCTATAAAGTGCATGTTTGTGTGTGAGAACTCACATGTGTTGCCATTACCAGTAGAGTGTGCAGGATCCTGTTGTTAGTAAATGTGACTGAGAAGCAACAGCGCGAGGAGGACGATGACGCAGTCACAAATGGCAAGTCAATTATTTAATGTGATCAGATCTAACCAGCTGATAAGGAAAGATCATTAGATTTTAATAATCTTTTTTTATAAATAGATACCTCATGATTGAATCAAGTTCGCTTGTTTTATATAATATTGAATTTATTTTTAATAATTGTAGTGGTAGTTACGCCACAATTTATCATTATCTTATGTTAAGAGGTACCAAAAATCTTGTCCTACTTTACGGCTACTATCCAGGTCTCTGGAGCTTTAGTCAGAACAGGAGACAGATAAATGTCGTATGCAGCAAGAACTTTGTTCTTCTTTATCAGTGGTTACCAACAGGCGGCCCGCGGGCCACATCCGGCCCCTGAAGTCTTTTTTGTGTCCCGCGAGCTAAAATATATTAGATGTCATTTTTTGCATACAATTTTTGTAAAAAATCTATATGGGATTAAAATACTTTTCTTTCGTTAAAAAAAATACCCTAATTTCCTTGCTTCTGTGAAATTTAACATACCAACGGTGCAAAAAAAATGTTTTTTTTCTGAGGTAAAAATCTACTTTTTATTTTAATTTGTAAATCAATACTTTTGTTTTGTACAACTGGATGAAAATCAGACAGTAATATTTAATGTTCCTTCAAACATAAAAGAGTCCTATATAAACTTTTGATAAATTTGCTGCCCGCCATTTGACTGGTGTTTTTATTTGCGGCCCCCAGCCTCATGTAAGTTGGAAACCCCTGTTCTATATAAATAAAAAGTCAGATCTTAATGGATGTCTTAATCCGTAAAAAGCTTTATGAGCTACATCTATACGCTTCTTTATTTTAACTAAAATATCATTGTTTCTATTTTGAGTTCATAGCTCAAGGTTTTTTCCTCGCGTTTTCGCCATTTAATGTTTTGTTCCGGGGCCGAAGTAAGATGTTTTGGTCCTGCTATTTCTCGTCCTGCTTTTTTTAGTCCCGTTGAAGTTCCTTCTCGGGCCCTTTCTTTATTATGTATCGAAATTTAAAACAAAATTTTTCTAAACATGCTAAGCATTCCCCTATAATATAATATATAATTGTAATTTTTTCGAGGTAGGAATAATTTGGAAACTGCTTCCAGATTTAACAGCGAGGAGGCATTAAACACAGCAGACTTTATTTGTTTATTTGCCAAAATTTACATTCATAATATATTATTACAGCAAAATGATTACATGAATAGTGCAAATTTATTTTTGGACTACATATGTTTGAGAAGAAGGATGTCCCCGACCCTCATCTATAGATACGATATTGATAGAATGCAAAGAAAATGAAATCAATTTTATTCTTTCCACACTTAACACTTTTTCTTGATTTTCTGCGACTAGAAACAATGAATAATTAATTTAATAAATTTTTAAAAAAATCTATATATTTAGGAGCATTGAAACATAACCACTGTAATAATAAACAAGAAATAGAATCAAATACCTACATCAAAATAAACAAATCAAATAAGTAACGTGATTAAATCAGAAAGAGACCGAAATGGCAACTCGACCGAAGTAGCAGTGGAATGAATGAGTGAAAAAAACAAACAAGAAAACCTACCATCTATATAGCGGCACAAAAAGTTTCCTGTCTACATTAGGGAATCCAAACCTTCAAAGCAAATTAAGAAGTAGAATCAAAACAAAAATTTGCTATAGGACACCTCTTCATTGGACAAGAAGCCACGTTGTCACAGCCGGTTAAGGCAGGGCAAATGCTTTGGCCAAAATGGGAACTTCACTCTCAAACATCAACAACTGCAATAAGCCAGTTCAGGATAAATGTAAATTCTTTCCAGGTGGAAAAAAGTCATTAAATACCTGATGAAACAGGTGGAGTAAAACAAAGATAGGCAAGCCCTTATTAGGCTATTTTATCCTAATGTAAACCTTAATCCTCTAGCAGCGAAATTCTATCTCAACCATATAATCACGACGATATAATCAATAGGGATCAACACAAATTATTCAGTAAGAACGAATACTGCCCCAAAACTAGCACACCGGAGACGTTAGAGCATGCCTTGCTGATCTGCCTAAAAATCAACTATAAATAAGGAAGAAGTACAACCAAAAATTATGAACATGGACTTGATTTATAAATTTAAGACACCATAGATGTTGGAACATGCAGTTTAAACATTTCTTGCTGGTATGCCTAAGAATCAACAAGCTCAAGAACAAACTAATGCTAAAAAGTATGAATATGGACCTGGTGTATCAATTTAAAAAGCCAGAAACGTTAGAACATGCCTTGCTGATCTGCCCTGGAATCAATCAGCTCAGGAGCAAACTGCAGCAAAAAATAGTGAAGTCGGTACTTATTTATAAATTTACGATACCGGAGACGTTTAAACATGCCTTGCTGATATGTCCAAAAATCAACGAGCTCAAGAACAAACTAATGCCAAAAAATTTAAATATGAATCATATTTATCAATTTAAGACACCGGGCACGTTGGAACATGCCTTTCTGATCTGCCTACGAATCAACGAGTTCAGAAACAAATCACTTCCAAAAAAAGTAAATATGCACCTGATAAATAAATTTGGAACATAGGAAGGGAGACTCAAGATCTCTATCAAGATCTACTAATCCAGATTATCAAAACCTTCTGTGAAGCAGGTTTTGTGAACTTTTAATGCTAATTGGAATATTTAACTCCCTTGACGTTTCAACTTAAGCTGTTCTTTTAATTGTTGCTGTTTCAATTTATTGTAGCATTGCAATGCTCCATAAATGTTTAATCCCATATAGTTTTATGATACTTTCAGATAATAATTTATGTAATTTTCTCTTAATATTTTAAACTTTTAGGCAACGCTAATATCGATGCAATTGCTATTTTAAATAAAGCGGGGTTAGATTGTGGTAGTGCGACCATCTGGGTTGAGATCGGGCCTCATTGGTCGTGGTATGGGAGTTGCCCAGCTCATGGCACCTCAGCTGGCTCCAGGTATCTGTCCGAGGTTTGGCATCTGTGTCTGCCGTTCTGCGGGGTGAAATCGGGCTCTTGTGATCCCGCAGTTGATGCTAGCACTTGCTGAGTGACTAAAATAAAAGGGCTTGCACTGCTCTTTCGTATTGATTGTAGCCACTTATTCGCACGGACCTCATCAGTTGATTCGGATGCCTCTTTAGGCAAGTCGTGGCTTACTATTCTTATATAGTATTAGACAATGGAAAACTTAAGCAATTGAAACCTTTGGTAACTTTGTAACATTTTAATAGCTTCACTGAAAGCTGCGGTGGTTCAGGTGATCGCTCGCCTCTTAATGAGGCAACTGGGTTTGAATCCCAGATGTGGAAGGTCAATAAGAACTCCGCACCCGGCTCTCACCGACTACAGTGCTGACAAAAAATATCATCTGTTATTGACGGATCAAGAGTTAGAGCCCCCTTACCGTTGGGTTAATCGTAGGAGGCTTCCGTGGTTTGCCTTTCCGTGTTAAGCAAGTGCGGATTTGCTCCATCAAAAAGTCCTCCACGAAGGAAATTTTCTCCCAATACTTGATCAAAGAACTTCCTTGATTTCTGGACAGGATTCAAAATTACAAGGTTACGGGGTTAAACATTGGCAGTCGTAAACTCAAATTTGGGTCAGCCGATCAACGCTGGTTATAAAATAAAATTAAATAGCTTCACTGAGAAAGAGTTTGTGCAATGTTGCGTCTCATATGTACTTTTTAATCAATTACATCCAGTGGTACGGAAAGTAAGTTTCTCACAATGTTTGATTCAGAAGTTACCTTGGCTTCTGTGTTGGGCTCAAATTTACAAGGTTATGGAGTTAAACATTAATAGTCGTAAACTCAAAATTGGGTCAGCTGGTCAACGCCGGTTATTTTTATAAATATATGTTTGTATATAAACCTGTACGTTCATTCTAAACGTGAAGCTTGTGCATTCAAACAATTAAATAAATAAAATAAAAAAATTATTTCGAAAAAAAATCTGTAGTTTTCAAAACAAAACCAACTTTAGATTTAAAATCATCACACCCGAATTAGTCAAGATCAAGTATTTGCATAAATGCAACGAAAAGTCTCCACCCCCGTGTTATCAAGCTATTAAAAGGCATCATTTCAGACATCTAAAAGACATCAGACTATTTAAATATAAACATCTTATAATTTACCATTAGACACTTAGCTATGTTAAAACACCAAGATTATTCGGCTTATTGAAAACTATATTAGAAGGCAAAATATTATTAACAGTTTGTAATTTACTATTTGACATGCAACGTTTTTGAAACACGAAAATTATCGTACTATTAAAACATGAAGTGGTCAAACTGTATTAACGTTTTACTGTTATCCATTTGAAACTTATCCATATTAAAACACAAAGGTTAACATGCTATTAAAACTAGAAGACATCAGACTATATTAACGTTTACTTTTATAATATCTGTTTGATACTTAACAATAAAAAACAAAGGTTATCATGCTGTTAAAACTAGATGACATCAGGCTATACTAACATTTATTTTTATGATTTCACATTTGACAATTATGGATATAAAAACACAAATATTATCATCTTATTAAAACTAAAAAAACTTTAGACTATATTAACACTTACTTCTATAATTTCCTATGTGACAATAATTGATTTTACAACGAAATTGTTAACATAAAAACTAAAAGATATCAGATTGCATTAGCTTTTGCATTTTATAGTTTTCCATTTGGCTCGAATAATAAATTTATAAAAAATTTATACTATTAAGCATGAAAACGATGCATACATTTCGAAAGTAAATAAATTATAGGAAAAACTCCCCTCCGATTCTACGTATGAGTTTAGAGAAAGTTTTATGCACACTGAAATCTAAGTAATGTGTTAATCATTAATCTGTTAGCAGCTATATTCTCAAATCAAATAAGTAGCCTAACATAAAATCATAAAACTTTGTCTGCAAACACATGAAAAATTTAATAGAAAAAGAGCATTTTATAGTTTCGTATTTGATGTATATCAAATTATTTTTATGATCAACGTTTCTATGATGTAAGTTAAGCTTTTAATTCTCCATTAAGGTTCGCAGTGAAAATACACTTTACTGTTTAAAAAATTGCACGGGTAGCAAGTTCTAAATTCAACAAAGTCTTTTTGAAGAAAATTACTGCTGCCTGACAATGAAGAACCGTTTAATGTTCCTTCTCATTTGCTGTTTCCTTCTAAGTAAGTTCATAAATTTTTTGCATGGACAAAAACATGTTTTAATATATTATTTAAACATGACAGGTGGTTGTAAAAGCGGATTGCGCTTCTAAGATCACTACACCCTCCTCGAGCAGGGTTGGTGAATTGCGCTCAAAGTAAACCTTCACCTCAAATTCGTGATTAAGTTAAAAGCCCTTTGGTAAGATTTTTAGCATAACCAAGTGCTATATACCTTTCGCTTTCATCACGTTGGATGCCATGCTAATTTTACATGACTTGCTCGTCTGGCTAAACGGTAAATAACTACAAACTATCTTTGCAAATATCATACAGATTTTGCTAGTTTTTTTACAAAGTTTAGCATGTGTGCAATAAAATTCGGGAATAGTATAAGCCTACGAATTGTTTAGAAATAGTGGTGGATTAAAATCTACTGAATTGAATTTATTAAACCAAGAATCACAATGAATAAACTACCACTTGAAAATATTTATTCGCTGTCCGGTCTGGAGCAAGTTGGCATCTCTGTGTATATAAATAAAACTATTTTTGAGTGTTTTATGTTGCATTAATTTCTTCAAACCATTTTAGTAACGATATTAATATAAAAATTTATTCGAATTATGTGTTTCTAATAATCTTGGCTTCGCCGGTCACCGGTGACCCCCGTGGATCTACGAGCAAACTCAGTGCCGGTGACGTGTTAAGGACGCATTCAACGTGTTAAGGTTAAGGACCACTGCCTTGTATGCATTTGTCTGGTATTCCCAACACAGATGTGAGATTTCAAGAGCTGTGCATTACATATCAGTGTAATATTACCAGTAAATGTATCATATTCTAGTTGTTGATCTAATCCTGACTACAACGCTTAAAATTTTATTCGGGAAAAAGTGGAATAATATGTTTCAATACATTATTCTTAATCAGGTAGAAGCGAATGGCCAGCTCACATATCCATAAAAAGTGGAAAAGTGTTTTTTACCTGTTATATTGTGTTATCTGCAAAGTTCAGGTCAATTTTGATGGGTAGAGCTCCCGAAGCTCGTCAAGAACATTCAAGTTAATGCAAATTTAATAGTATAAAATAATAATAATATTCTAATATTCCTTGTTTTTAAAGAATGATTCATCAAGTTTCTGTTGCTCCATAAGGATTTGGAAAGTTACTTTATCTATTGCAGACATAAGGGTCTCATACATGCTAGATGAATATTTTTTAAATTGATGTGGTTGGGAAAATGGGAAAACTTCAAATTACTTTGATGAGTAGTTTACTACCACTTGAATATTTTCGGACTCTAGCGTATTGAAAATTATACTGGACGTTCCGGACCCACAACCCCAACACATTGAATCATTTGCTAATTCATCGCTAGAAGAGAAATTCACTTACGAGAAGGAGTAATGAATTAAGCAATCCCGAAAGACATTTTATTTTCATTCTTCTTAAGAAGTACTTCCTCCACTACTTATTAACAGTTACAACATTGTTTTATTGACAAACTTCCCTACATCCATGAAACGGAGATGCTTTCCAAGGCTGAAAACCTATATAAGTTAAGATGCAAAAACTGGTACGAAAAAGAAAATATATCTATATAAATATATATTGCTCTGTATTTATCCAATTTGCAAAATTATTTTTAAAAACTAAAGAGAACTATAAATTGACATTTGCTGATTTTCGGTTAATATTGCCAACTTTTTAAATTATTAATAATTTTTTTAAAATTATTATAGAGATGCCAACTTGCTCCGGACAGCAAGTAATTATTTTCGAGTGGTAGTTTATTAATGTGTAATTTTTGGTTTAATAAATTAATTTATAAGGTCTTTATCCACCACTATTTCTAAATAATTCGAAGGATTATATAATTCGCCACTTTGGTACTATAGCAGAGATGCCAACATGCTCCGTTTTGTAAAATAGTATTTTTTAGTGGTAGCGAAATTTAAGTAAATGTTATAAGTATCATATAAAATGCAACGTTTTGGGCAATAATTGAAATAAAATGCAATAATTTGGAACCACTTTAATGAAACTATTCCAGAAAGCGGAGCAGTTGGCATCCCTGCTGTAGTAGAGATGCGAACTGCTCCAGACACGCCAATATAATTAAAAAAGTGGTGAATAACTTCAAAGTAAATTTTGCAAATATTTGACTATTTTTGCTTGCTATTTAAAAGGTATAGCTTGACTTAAGTACTATGAATTACATAAACCTACGAATCTACTAAATTGAATTTATTAAATCGAGAATCACAATTGATAAACTACCACTTTAAAATATTTATTTGCTGTCTGGAGCAAGTTGACATCTCTGCTGTAGAGTTATGCAACACCGCTTAAAAAGTAAGCAAAATTTGTCCAATCTTGCAAATTTGACTTTGAAGTTATTCACCGTTTTTTTAAATTATTATGGCGCGTCCTGAGCAGTTGGCATCTCTGCTATTATAAAAATTTAATCTGGAAAATATTAATAACTGGTAGTAAGAACATACCAATCTCTTCTATCTTTTGCCAATCTCAGCATAACTGCCATCATCATCATCAATATTTATCTGGGGGCCGTTAACGGCCTTTTTCCCATTCATCTTGAATTGTGATCTTTAGGATGGTTCTTTCTGGTAATTGGAATGCAATTGGAGTAAAAGGAATTTAAATATTTTGAATTTTAGATAAAATTACGTCACTATAAAAGTGAGCTGACATCAGCCTGAGGTTTATGTCTTCTCTTAAGTTTTCAAAAGTAAAACTTTCGTTGAATCCTGCAGTGTTACAATTTGTGTTTATTTCAAAAAATCTGAAATTTGGCTTTGCAATATGATGATCTAAAAAATCTATGTTGAGGTCACGATGTCTGTTTTTATTTCGGATAAACCATCTTGCTTTTGTTATTTTCCTGAGGATTTTGTTCCGGCATGTTTTGAGTTTTTTGAGGAGTGATGTGGAGATGTTGCACCAAGCTGGAGATGCATAAGTCAGGATGGGACGGATCATTGAGATGTAAAGTAATTCCATTTTGGAGTTCTGAAGAAGGATTTGTAATCTGTGGCAGGCTACTTGTGCCTTGTTGATAACTGTTTTGATGTGATCTTTCCAATTAAATTTACTGTAAATGACCAGACCAAGGTATTTTGCGCTTTCGACTATGGGAATAATTTCATTAAAGAGAACAATTTGATTTTTGGGGAGGATGGTTTTTCTTTTATGCTGAATGATTAGTAGTTTTGATTTTTGTCCGTTTACTTTGAATTTCCAGTCTAGACACCATGCTTCGATTTCTTTCAGTTTTCCTTGGAGTTTTTGTAGGGCAATGTTGGGGTTTTTTGACTTCACTACGATTCCAGTGTCATCTGCGAAAAGTGCTGTGATGCTGTTAAACTCTTGTTTTTCGACAGGAAAGTTGTGGGTAAATAATATAAATAATATGAGCCCAAGAATGCTTCCTTGGGGCACTCCTGCTGTTACTTTTCTGTTTGTTGACTTCATGTGTTTAAAGCTCACTTGAAAAGTTCTATTATGCAGGTAGGCTTGTATAATTTTTATGATACCAGATGGGAATTTCAGTTTTAACAGCTTGAAGATGATGCCCTGGTGCCAAACCCGATCGAATGCTTTTGTGGTATCTAGCATCAGAAATGCTGAACTCTGTTTGTTGTGGAGGCCGCGACCAATATAGTCGACTATTCTGAGGAGCTGTTTGATTGTGTCAAGATGCTTCCGAAAGCCATACTGATCGTCTGGTAATTTGGTAAGGTGAGGCATAATCCGTGTGTAGATAATTTTTCCATAAGTTTTCCTAAATTGCACAAGAGACTGATAGGTCTGTAACTCTCAGGCATGGTAGGATCCTTGCCAGGTTTAACCCTTTCGCGCCGACTGTCACAAATACGTGACAGCAAAAAACCGTATCAATCAGGGTAAGAAGATAAAACTGGTAATCAAAGTATTTCTTTAGCAGTTTATTTGTAGGCGGAGTTATAATTTTTTAATTTATTTAATTCACCATTACTTTGTTCAAAATAAAACTATTTAGTTATACGTTGAATTAACATTGATTATATATATGATTAAACTAACAATAATTAAAATAAAAGCAAAGTAAGTCTGTCAAATTAGTAACGACTACATTTAAGTTACCGTTTTTTATTTAATTGCAACTTGATTCTGATTTTGTACGAATGCTTTTCTGAATCACCCGTCCCTAAGGGGTTAAGGAAAAGTATGACATTTGCGTTCTTCCAGGCATCAGGGAAATAGTTTAGGGCAAAGCAAGCATTGTAGATATGATCGATTAGTTGAATATACTGTTTTGGTAGTAGCTTGATCATCTTGCTTTTGATATTATCGAAACCAGGAGCTGTTTTTGTTTTTAAATTCTTTATGTGATTTGTAACTTCTTCTGTTGTGGCAGATTCGATTATCTCTGGAGATGAATGTGATAAGTTGAATTGTTTTACTTCTTCAACAACCAAGTTGTGATTGTTCTGGTAGAAAGCCGGGTTTAGAGAGAACTGCTTTTATAGAGAGTCAGCAAATGTTTCAGCTTTATCTTGCGATGTGAAGACATACCCTGTTTCTTTATGTAGAGGCTTATCCACTTGAGGTGTGGTGTGAAGTGATTTAGTCATTCTCCAGACGGAATTATCCTCTGAGCTGAGTGATTCGATTTTGTCTATCCATTGTTTTCTTCTATAGTATCGGCATTTCTTGCGTATTTGCTTGTTGAGGTAAATCATCTCTTCTCTGTAGTCTGGATCAGAAGTTTTTTGATGTTTCTTTCGGCACCAGTTTCTCTCTTTAATTAAAGATTTGATTTCAAGTGGCAGTTTAAGATAGTTTGAAGTGAGTGTTTTTGACGTAGTTGATTTACCATAGACAGTCATGATATCATTCTGGAGTATAGTAATTTGCTTATCGATTTCTTCTGTGGTGTTTAGAGCTTCAATGTTTGGTTTGTTTATTGTGAGAATATTTTGAAAGAGGTTCCAATAGGTTTTAGTGATCTGCTTTCTCTCTTGTTGTAAGGTTATACCAATCGAGATCAGCATAACTGCAGAGATGCCAACTTGCTCCGGACAGCAAATATATATTTTAAAGTGGTAGTTTATCAATTGTGATTCTTGGTTTAATAAATTCAATTTAATTGATTTTAATCCACCAATATTTCTAAATAATTCGTAGGCTTATATAATTCACCACTTAAAGGTACTTATTACATGCTATGCCTTTTTAAAAGCAAGAAAAAATTGCCAAATATTTGCAAAATTTACTTTGTAGTTATTTACCGTTTTTGTAATTATTTTGGCGTGTCCGGAGCAGTTGGCATCTCTGTAACTGTCATGATTGGGAAATTTTAATATATATTTTTATTATTAATAAGTAGTGATAATTTTGGTCAAAATATATTTCTGAAACAAAAAATTAAAACGAATATATTTACTACCAATTAGTACTCCTTTCCGGATATGTAGCAGATCTGTACAACTTTTTTCACAAGGGTGTTTTTCATATCAACCTTTTCACAGTTGGGCGTTAATGGGTTATTATTATTTGTAAACATTTGATTACAATAACACCATTTTTGCAAAAACAAAATTTCGAGAATCCAAATTTGTGTATGAATTTTTTTGGGTTATAAAGTTCCATTCTCAAATTTGGTATTCCGAATTATCAAAGAGGTAGAAAATACCATAAGTTATACTTTCAAACCATTGTATTGCCTGTTTACTTACTAAATTATTGTACACAATAAATGTCCAAAGCAGCGGCAATAAACGTAAATTTTTAATTAATTTTTTAAGCTGCTGATATTTATAGACGTTTACTCAGCTGCCAACATTTACACTCCTAAAGGAAGAATTTTTCCAGTTTTACAGAGATAATCATTAAGTGTTTGGCAAATACTCTATTTTCTCCTTCACTGAGACACAATCCTATACACTGTGATACCAAATTTAATCCTCTGTTTGGTAAGATTTTTCGAAATAATAATAGATCACATGTAATAAAGGTTTATTAATACTTAAGCTGTTTCACCAACAGCGACAATTTTAGATTTTTATTAGATAAGTCTAATTATATTATTAATTTACTTATTATTATTATAATTTATTGATTGCAACAATTAATTGATTATTATATTATTATTATTAATGTTATTATTAATGCTATTATATCAGTATTATTATATTAATTGATTATTATTAGAATTTTAATAAAATGAGTCCAAGTTATTTGCATTATTAATTTACTTATTATAATTTATTGATTATTATATTATTATTGTATTAATGTTATTATATTATTGTTACATTAATTGATTATTATTAGAATTTTAGTTAGACGAGTCTAATTTATTTGCATTATTAATTTACTTAGTATTATCATAATTTATTGATTATATTATAATTATTTATTGATTATTACTATTAATATTATTATTATTATATTAATTTATTATTATAATTTTAATTAGATGAGTCTAATTTATTTGACAATTCTAAAGACTTTTAGTGGTCGATAATTAAGGTTTTAAGTGATTTTTAATTGAATAATTTAAGGTTTGCATTTAAAATTAATATCTATGCAATAAACCCAGAGACTCCAACTATTTGGGGTTGTTAGAATTTTCTTTTTTCGGTGACAGAGAAATTAACCCGTTTTGTCCCGAATTTATAAATTGAAATGATACAAAAAGTGGTTTTACGGAAAAAGTGGTCTAATATATTATCGAAATTAATTGTTTTTTCTACTGTTAAGGCATTCAAAAAGTCTTTGATAGATCAGAAAGTACCTGCTCCTTATAATTCTAGATCTAGTCAGAAATAACTGAATCATTGTGGTATCTGTGAATCTTTTAATTCACCCAGATAAATGAAAATGCTGAAAAAAGTTTCCCATCTCAATGAATGTCTTTGAAAAAAGGAACTGTCCCAAATATATGACGCTGGGCGTTAACCGGTTAAGTAGAATTTTTGAAATTAAAAAAATTTCTGGAAAAAAAATAATTAGAACTCAATTTAAACATTCGTCTATATAACTATAACCTTACAGAGCTGTGGTGGCTCAGAAAATAGAGTGCTCGAAGGTAAATTTCTCCCAGTGATTGGTCCAGTAATTCCCTTGTCTTCTGGATTGGATTCAAAATTACAATTAGTAGTCATAAACCCCAAAAAATTGGGTCGCCTCTTTAACGACGGATATAAAATAAAATATATAAACCTAAGAAATATCTGTATAAATTACTTTTGTTCATTAGTGGATGAAATTATTCTTCAAATTTAATTTATTAAAATATAAATACATTAACTTGTTACCAATAGAAAAAATATTATCTGAGGACCGTATAATCCCAAAGCCCCTTTTTTTAAAAAACAACCAAGCATTTCACTAAAAAAATATTTAAAAAAAAATAGTTCTTAATATATTTGAAAGTAACGAATTATTTTCTTTTCGTTATTAAAGGTTTTTTATAAAAAAAATACTACATTTTTCACTTCTTTCTCATAACGAGGTGTTTTCGCTCAATTCTTTAGTGAATCACAAGAAATATGTTTTAATAAATAAGTGCTAAAAAGCTCATTTGCTTTAATTAACTTTTTATTGGAAAATCTTTTTAACTAATTAAAGATCTTACTATTTTCAAGAAAACGGTTTAAAATTAAATGTGCCTTTATTTATTCAAGAAAATTACATAAAAAGGTGTAGGTACAATATCACTTCAGTATTCATTTCTGATTTTTGACCTTTTCTTTGGCTTGAAATTTGAAACTCCGAATGTCCTTGTAACTCTGACTCCATAATGTACACAATATTAAAAAATATTTTATCACAAAACACAAAACAGGTGCATTCAAAACAGGTGCATTCAAAACAGGTGTATGAGCATAAGTAGCTTAGCTAATAGTACGAAATACATTTATTTTTATAGCGCTGAACTATCCTCAGTTTTATTATAAATATTCTGGTGCAGCCATCTGTTGGGTAAAATAAAAAAATTTGAGAGCAAGAAGTGGATATAATGAAACATTTTCTCCGCCTTACTTTTGAATGCTGAATCCCGGAAATATCACGAGCTCTCTAGCCTGTGAGCTGCTCTAGCCCCGGAAATATCACGGGCACATGAAATTGGAGACAGAAATTCACCATATGATTTTTACGGGAACGAGAAAGAAGTTGTTAACCCACCACTAAACACATGAATGCCTTATTAATACATTTAAAGAATTTTATAAATTTTTTGACTGTTTCGGTAAAGATAATTAAAAATTTATTATGTTTATTAAAAATATTATTAAACAATTCTTCTATCTTTTAAGTGGTAGATTAGAAAATATTTTTTTAGATTTATTTTTAAATATAAATCTTTAAATATTTCTACTTGTCTTCAAAGTTAAAAAAAAGGAAATATATGTAAACATAATTTTTTGGAACTATGCATAATATAGATTTTTATGAGTTTTGTCAAGCTTGCCGCAGGGCGTGATAAGTTTTAATATTGGTAATAAATTCACATTAGTGTTTATATCCTTTATTTTTTAGAAATTTAGCAAATTTTTATTACAAATCTGTTTTCTTTGTAAAATAATGTATATTGACGACTACAAAAGTATTAAAACATCGACATTTGTCTCAGTTTTTCCTCACTTTATTTAACTTGTATCTTCATAAGACGTTGAAATGTAAGTCATGAAATAACTTCTAAAACTATGTTAGAGATGTTGTTTAAAGTTCTTATGTTGTACAAAGTTAGAAATATCAAATAAGTCGTTGAATTTTTGGTACTTATTTATTACCAACTTCATGACTGATTGAAGTTGAAAAGGCTTATAAGTTGTTCTGAGTAATGAAAACACAATCCTACATACGCTGGCCTTTCACTGCCTTATAGAAAATTTTCATTTAGTGGTAACTAATTTATGCTTTATGTATGATTATTTGTTTTGTAAAGTTCATTTAAAATTAAATCTACTACTTGTAAATTATTCAAAAATTCATATTAAACGCCATTTTATTCTATCTCTCTCGCCATAAGGGTGTTAAAATGTAAGAAAAATTGCCAAAAGCTTCATAAATTGCCTAGCTAATTAATAAAAATATAAATAATAACATATTTAATAAAATTTAACTTGCTTGATAAAAGGCTTTGTAGTTTAGAGATGCTTTTTTAATTATGCTTGATTTGGCATTTTTCCCTACGCACTTAGCTATTCCAATATGATTATGTTAGAACAAAAAATTTGACTAATAGATTAAAAATTATTCTGATGCTGTTTTATTAAATTTGCTCAACAAACAATTCTTTGCTTTTGAGAGTTTAGAAATAAATTTAATAAAGTTATAAATAGAACTGCGGTAGCATAATCCGTTTTGTTATCATTACTTTCTTTCAATTCGCAGTGTTTATAAAAAAGTGCCTTAATAAATTTGTGATATAAGTAGATACAAAGAAATTGGTTCACTTTCTTTTCTTTATTTAAATCAAGCTGGGTGACTGGGCCGCCCAGCGGCTCCTAAGGAAATTGGTTCTACCCATACCTGCCAACTCTTCCGGAAGATTTTATTTTCATATTTAAAGTGGTAGCAATACTCCAATTACCAATCCAATTACCAATCCAAACCTACCAATCCAAATCCAATTATGTTATTCCAATTTACTTTTTGAATTATAATGATAATTATAAATGAGTTTGACCACCACTACATATAAATAATTACAATAAATATGTAAAAGCATAATAATCCATGGGCAAGCGAATTTCAACAGAATCAGAATATAAATTTATTTTTGAGTCAGATTGTTTTTCGTTTATTATTTTACAACCACTCTGAAAATCCATTCTCGGAAAGAGTGAAANAAATTTCTGCAAACTTTCACGCTTGGTTTTATATTAATTAGTAAATTGATTTCCCTTAATTAATTCTATCTGATCGAGTAAAGTTAAAACTCATTAATAAAATCAGTTCAATTACTGATTACCTGAAATAAAAAGGTATTTTCAGCAAGTTGCATTTTTTTATTTATTCTAAACGCATATTTAAATATTTTATTAAAGCTGTTACCTGCATTTCTTATATTATTCCTCTTTAAATTTTATTCGAAATAGATTTGAGGCAAATAAAATTAAAAAGACTCGGAACTAAATATCAATTTGATATTCTTTTTTGATTCTTTGGTAATCTGTTTCGCGGTATTTGAGGGATGACTTCAATTAGAATAATTTAAACATTATTAAAATTTCAGGCTGAATAAATCTTTCAAATTGTAGATTATTTTCATCGCATAATAGTTCTTTTCCACTATCTCTGTTAATCGGCTTATAAAAAAAATAAGAAAAATGTGTTTATAGTGGAGTTAAAGGACATGCTTGAATGGCATTGTAATGAATTTGTGCACCGAGAAAAAATTCTGGTAAAATTACCTTTCCGCATAGTAATGACATTTCTGGTAAAAGGACCAACAACATAATTTTAGTTGAAAAAAAATTATATATACGGTATTTTAATCATTAATTTGGTAAATTTTATGTTTTGGTAACGGTTTACCGAAAATTTTGGTTTTCAAAGTGATAGTTGTTACTACTCATTCAGTAAAAAAATACAAAATTGAAAAGTAAATTGAACCAAATAAATGGTTTTTATGCCTACTCTAAGGTATCTTGACATTCTGCGTTTGTTCTTTCTATTATTGCTTATCGGCAACAGTTGTTTATCTCTTGTTTCATTTGAAATAACGGATCGAAGTATTGTCTTTACATTTCTATTTATTATTGATGTGATAATTGCATGTTTACTCAAAATTTTCTCTAAATTACGATCGAGTCAAATTGACACATATCCGCAGAGATAGGTATACCACAAAGAGAATTTCAATAATTCAACGCTTTTGAAGAAAATAGACTTCAATATATATTTACCTTGATCAATGGTTAAAAGTCAATGCAAGAGATAAAATAAAAATTTACACGGG